GGGTAGAGAGGTTTCATGGCTAACAGATATTCTGAGACGTGCAGGTTTGTGACATCCAAGGTGCGGCATCGCGCGCACATGGCTTGTGGCTAATTGACGCCACACATCACCTTGACATTGACGCAGTTCCATCATCGTAACATTGGTCCTGCTGTTTCTTTTACAGCCTTATCTCAACCAAGTTGGTAGTTCTGCTAGGTAGCAAAAACACATCCTACGGAGATCGGTTCACTCCTAGCGGACCGCGCGTTCTCCCAATATGCAGAATCCCTTTAGTCTCAGGGAAAAAACACAGCCCGAAGATTGGCTTTCGAGGATATAACATGGTTAATCAAATTGTGTACACTGCCTTCTATACAAAAATCCTGTTTTGTGTCGACAGCAATGTGACTGCTTGTACATTATTCGAACCAAAGATGTTTCTTGAAGTAGGTACATTTGTAGCTCTTCTTTAGAAGTCCTGAGGAAGCACCTGACGATATGGGCATCGACTTGGAGCATCCATCTCCGAAGTTTGTGGACATACCTTTCTCGGACATCTTCAGTTGGATGTGTGAGGTTAGCTGTGAGATCGACTCAGTCCTCCACATTCGGTGCACACCTATGTAAATGTTGAATTCGTTCAGGGTAAAGCCCTCACTCAAAATCAAAGCACTCAAGTTGTTCCTATAGCGCCCATCAATTTCCTTCATGAACTTGATCGTGTTACTCAAGAGGTCACGAACGAAATAATCCAGGGACAAAGAAACGCAGTTGTGGGGCAGCATATAATTATTACAGCACACGAACCGGACCCCAACAAGGTAACTAGACTCCAACTCCTGCTTTTGAAACTCTGACGTTCCTATTTCTAGGTGGCAATCAAGAAGCCTCGTACACTAGCCGAACTCACGCGACTCCGACGGCAGTTTATCAATATGTCTAAAACCAATCCAATCGATAGCAAGTCTAAGATAGCTTCTTTGTTCATACATTACCTCAACAGTAATGTTTAATTGCATAGATTCAGAAACGATGAAGCATCGTGATGAGTGAGCCCTCCCAAAAATCCTCTTTTGGTACGTTGCCCATCCCTCACGGGCAAATACCACCCCCTTCCAGCGATCAGTTTCAGCCCACTGATGGAGCACTTTTAAGTATGCTTCACCCTGAATCCACATGGTAGCCATAATATGGCACGATCATATGAAATAAGTCTCGTGTAGTCTGTTTCACAGTCATATATCGGGTCCTGATGTGCTCGTCCGTGTCTTAGGCGAGGAATAGAGTTGAGTTGTTGATGTTATTAAGCCTGTGTGTGGTTGTTTTAAGCTGCTGTGTTAAGCTATATATTTTATTACTTCCTTTGAATTCCACTTTTGTTAATGAACAGTGAATGACATGGAGATCATTCAAAATGGTCTTTTATACCTAATTCAATAAATATAAATAACAATGCAGATATGATAGTCCTAAACGGGAATGGTAATGAGGATGTCTTCGTGTGCTGTATGAGACTGCTATGTCATAGAGTTTGCTCTTTCTGTTGCCGCTTTCACAGCTTCAATAACTGCATAGCGAAAACCTGCAAATCTTTTATAAAAATACATTGTGAAACACTTTGACGCGGTGGGGTTTGCGAAGGAAGAGGCACATATAGTGACTCATTTTTATCTCAGCTCATTGCCTTATAAGCAAGTACTTAAAGTATTGCGAGTCGCACGTGTCATTAGAAAGTCAAGTGTCAGAAGTGGGAGTTCACAGATCTTTCTGGGAGCCTTCTCAGTGCCATTTATCATGAAACTATGAAGTGCATCGACGCTGACAGACTGACCTGATTTCTCCAATTCTCGTATACCCGCTATTGTAGTTCCACCCGGTGAGCATACTTTATCCTTCAAAACAGCTGGATGCATCCCGCTTTCAAGAACCATTTGAGCTGCACCCTGAAAACAAGTGAAATTGTCTTCCCTTCATATTCTCATGAGACTTTCCCAGGTTGCTATGTGAACGGCGCACTTAACTATGGAGAGAGAGACCTGAGATTCTGTAATAAGGCAAAATGGCAGTCCAGCGCCATCTATTAGCGTCAGCTTCGCATCCACGAGGGTTATTCTAAGTTCTGAGTACAGTACGTTCACCAACTATCCCTTTGCAACACATCTACGCGTGAATATTCTCTCAAGACAAAATATCGCAGTTGTGACGCTGTTTAAAAGAATAGTGATGAAAAATAGTTTCAAAAAAGCAGGAGAAACGAAAATGTAATCGAACTGATTTTTCAGAAGTATACAGTCACGTGAGCTTGGAACTCACCAAAAGGCTCTGAGCTGCAAGTTTCATGGCGGTTTCCCGAGAACACCCAGCAAAGACACCTCCGTCAGCCAGTGCTTCCATGAACACATACGCCTGAATGAAAATGGTATTCTCTCTGCTCCGGCGGGGTAGCCTTATTTCAACACATTAGGACGTGAAGATGGTACCACGAGTTTGAAGACACCCTCGCACTGGCAGGTGTGCGAGGCCACAAGACGACGTCGCTGGCGTGCCACTCCTCTTGTACGACTCTTTTTAGGGTCAACTGGAAGCAACGATAGGAAGGTACATTGCCGGGCACCTAGTGCGCGCGCTTCCGGGCTCCATTCACCCAGCAATCCTGGATGCTGTCTTTCAAGAGTTTTGGGCTGGCTTTCAGAGTCAGATGATGAACAATCTCGTACGATGAGGCTTACTTCACTTCAGAAAAAGATATCACTGAAGCGTGGACTGCAAGCGAGAATAGGTGCATCACGGAGAGCAGCTACGGCGTCACCAAAAATGGGTTTGGAGGTTCATGGTATCCAGGGGGAATCGAGGCGAAAATATCGAAAACAAAGGGGAAAGCGGAATTGACACCAGAAAAAGATCACAACCACGCGGAACAATCCTGATTTCAGGCTGCTGATCGTAAATATAGCTTCTGCAAAAAGCTCATATGTCAGACTCAGGGTGATGGCAGAGATCGGTGAACGTATGCAGGGATATCCAGACACCCACCGCAGACAAATTCGAGAAAGTGGCCTGTTGTTTGAAAGATTTTTCTCTATGCTTTCTAAGCCACTTTGGTTTTACGGGTACCTCCAGCGATTTTCTCACATGGTTCTATGGGTACCTCTAGCGATTTTCTCACGTGATTCTTCTTCTGGTCAGAAATGAGTGCGTGTCCCCCCCCCCAATGTGCCATAACCGCTTTACGGAGCCCGCAACGTGTTGCAAAAAATCTCGGAAACATACCCATGCCGGAGCTGATCCTGAGACCACACCATAGGCGTTGAAGGATTTCGGATCCACTTCCACACATAAACCAACTTTGGAAGCGAAAGTCTTGACTATATCTATCTAAAAACTCACTGAATAAACTATAGCCAGAACTCTTTGATTCAAATTGAGACCTTCTCTTTGGTGGTGTCGTTCGAATCAGCACACAATATGGAAGCACTGCTACCGACAGAAGCGGCCGTGTTCGGCATAATTCGAACAACTGGACCGCGGTAAAGAAGTGAGCTAAACTGAAATACCATTTTTCTAATGTTGATTTAGTAAGCATGGGGAAGAACAAAGGGATGAAAGGGAACAGACCTCAGTTTTCAATGTAGAAATGTCGATCCCAGCCAAAATAGAGATGATTAATGGACAACTCTCTAATGTTGCTTTGTTTGATGCCAACGAATCATACACAGCATGTCTTGACTGAGGTTTGACTGACAGGACCACGATACCTTAATGAATGTATTTCGAAATCTTCCACACCTGTTACTTGTATTGTAATGAAACAAAGTCATACCATGCGGAAAGCTTTTAAGCATTGCTGCCGAACATGTGAACACATTATCGAAACCCTCACACTGAAATACAACATTTCGTGTGATATGCTAAAAGGATCAGTAATAGGATATAGCAGCAATACCTTCCACCGATGCTGGGTAGCTTCAGATTGGCAGCTGATTGCTATCTCTTTTGGAGTGATGAAACCTAAAAAGGAACCACAAGAACTTGGTATACAGTATGCATCACTCATCACTTACTGACGCTCAAGTGTGGGAGCGGGTTTTTTTTCGCTCAAGAGGGTGAAACATTGGGTGAGCTTGTTCTCTGAACTGCTTGGACTTCTCTTCGAGGTTCCGACAGAAGGTCAGTACCGCTAGATAAGATGAGGCGCTTGGTGGACTAGGTCATAAATCGGAACTTCGAACTACTTTTAGGACTCCCAAGACGACGATTAGGTCGAAACTTTGGGCCAATTCAATAAGATCCACCTAGAACCTCGTGAAGGCTCACAAGAACTAACACAAGCAACCACGAGAACGTTGGAGAGATAACGACTTAAGAGTCAGAGAACACGAATCCAAACAGATGTTCTTTATAAAACACAGTTCGAAGCATTCATACTCGGCACCGTTGTATTATATACTCGAGCTCGTACTGGGTTTGCAAAAGGTTTGCAGGCTTTTCTACCAAAAATCTTAATTAATAACTCTGCTCCAACAAAATTGATTCAATCAAGAAAATGCCATTACAATCAGAGGTTTTTTGCTAACGAGAAAGGAGCCTCCTGATGCCAATAACATACAAGTCTAGGGTTCCGGATGGAATGAACTCATCGAAGGCAGTTCCTAAATCACATTGATTTTCGAAGTGCTTCTCCCACCAGGGCACGCCATCGCGTTGTGATCATTTTGTGAAAACATTACGACCGCCCCTAATTCCCATA